GCGACCTCTGTCAACATCTGGAACACGGATGCGTACATTGTCACCCACTTCACCATCTTTAAATTTTGTATTTGATGTTTTAAGCATCTTAGCACCTTGAGTTTGCAAGCTGCTGACCTGTGTTCCATGATGTCTTGTTTGTTGTGACACAATCTGCAGGTAATGTTCCCTCCGTACCCTTCGTCTGCTTCATTGGGTATTCCACAAATAGCATGGACATCTTTGCCACAGGATCCACAAGAATGAGCTGCACTACAATGTTTTTCACAAACTATACAGAATCTGTTGGCCACATTATTGTCACGCAACTGGTCTGGACGTTCCGCCACGCCAGCAGATGTGTTCTCAAGATCTTCCTCAGTAACTACTTTATTGAGAGCCTCTCTTGGTAGATTTGAAGTGCTAAATCCCACTTTTGCTTTGCATCCAAACAAGGTTTCGTATGGTGATTGTTGAATTCTTTGATGAAAAGAACGATTTTTCAAAAATTGAATGAATTTGAGACTCTCAGCCCAATGAGCTGATTCATTTGTTTGCATCCATGTCATCATCATATTTTGAACATCTTTGTTGGCACGTTCGACTGAACCTTGGCTTTGGCTATGCCTTGGTTTTCCGTGAACTAGTTTAAGTTCAGGCCACATGTTCTTTAGTTCAGAAATAACTTGATTCACAAATTCTCTTCCATTATCTGATTGAAGCACACTTGGTGCACCAATAGTCGTGAAGATATCCAGCAGCTGGTAAGCAACTTCTTCTGCTCTTTTGGTTTCGAAAGCTCGCAACAATATGATCCTGGTAACTGAGTATAAACTTGTATTTGCCGTCTGGGTTACTTTGCATATCTATAAGATCTACTTGGCATCTTGAGTTAAATTCTTTAAATATCAAAGGTTTGGAAACAAGACCTTTCTTGGGATTAGACAATTTTGTCTGACAAGGCTTGCACAACCGAAGATACATAGTAATGATTTCTTTGGTGATATTTTTGTACTTTCTCTTGGGCTCTTTTTCCATCCTCGTGGATGCTATACAAACAAGAGCTAAACAATACGTTACTCACAGTGAAACCGCACCCAGAATAATGAAAACGCGATCACAACTTAGTCTAGATAGAACATTGGCCGGGACATCCTGGCCAATGCGCGCATTGGCCGGCCAATGTACAAAATACGCTGTTAAGTTTAAGCACTTCGGACTTTGGCCAGTACGTCCCGGCCAGTGCGCGCATTGGCCGGCCAATGTACGAAATACGATCTTAGTTCTAAGTTCTTCGGGCTTTGGCCAAGAGCGCCGGCCAATCCGCGCATTGGCCGGCCAATCCGGGGTTTGGCCGCACTTCGGGCTTTGACCGTAACATATATATATATATAAGATAGATAAAAAGGGAGATAACAAGATTAAATACTAGCGATCGATTAAAGTAATCACACATTGCCGTCATTGTCCTTACACTAAGCTGTCACAGTAATCACACGAGGTCGTCAGAGTAATCACACTTGGTCGTCATAGTTTCTACTTTATGACTTAGAAAGCCAGTAGCGTAGCCAGGATCGTCTCATGGGAGGGGGGGGGTCAAAATCTTTCCAGCAGTATATACACGTTTGCCTGTCGTCCCTACTGGGGCATAGGCCGCTGAAAAGAGCTTTCCAGACGTCTCTGTCCAGGGCTAGTCTCTCCAATTGTTCCCAGGTGTATCCAATCTTCTTGGTGTCTTCTTCCAGGTCACGTCTCCAGGTCTTTCTTAGTCTGCCTCTCCTCCTCCTGCCTTGTGGATTCCAGGTGAGGGCCTGTCTTGTTATGCTGGATACAGACTTCCTCCTGAGTGTGTGGCCAATCCATTTCCCCTCAAGCTTTCGATTTGCACCCCCCCCCCCCTCAAACTTTCGATTTGCACCCCCCTCAAACTTTCGATTTGCACCCCCCTCAAACTTTCGATTTACACCCCCCCCCTCAAACTTATATATATACCGAATGGGGCAATGGGGGGGGGGGTTATGACCCCCTAACCCCCCCCCCCCCTGCCTAAGCCACTGTAGAAAGCATTGAAAGAATTAGTAATTATGTCGAGATCAATTCTATCTTGTTATATTAGGTTACTTGATTACTATGATTAAATTACACACGTTTAGACAAATAAAGTTATTTATTTCGTCACACCTACTGTCAGATCAAACGCAGAGGATGGGGAATGAACGCAGAAGTACAGCTGACGTACGGCATACTTGCAGCATAAAACCGGAAATTACCGTGCAGTATATCAAGAGAAGAACCTGCAGCACTTGGCTCATACTGTTGGCCAGCTGTTCACTTTTTGTATGCGGTAAATGGACATCACGTGACTAGTAAAGTAAAAGTAAAGTCTTTTTCGAACCTGACGGGCCATGTAGCAAATGAAGTAGAGTTTACCTGTATTTGTGACCACGCCATCCCTGATGTTGCCGGTCTCCTCAATAAATGTACCAATAAATTATTTGATTTACTAAACTAAAATTGAAGATAGCAAAATCCTAAGAACATTTTGTCATTTTTTACGATATTATTGTAGAAAACAAATTTGAATTTAAATTAATATAAATAAGTAGACCAATAACCTTTTTTTTAAAAAAAAAAAAGATACTTTTAGCAAAGAAAACTAGTATTTAACTAATGCATATCGTGATGATTGTTTTGTTCGATGTTTCAGGCATAATAATATATGTAATCCTGTACAGTTTGTTGAAGAAGTTTGAAGAAATCGGGAAACAAATGGAGCTGGTAAACAAACTAGCGTCTTCTTGGACGATAAGTTTTTTGTCCTATGTGAGTACCTACGGTTGTATTACGGCACATTGCGAGTGGTACCGGTCATTTTTTATACTTACTGAGTACCTTCTGTGAGTACCTTCTGTGAGTACCTTCTGTGAGTACTTTCTGTGAGTACTTTCTGTGAGTACCTTCTGTGAGTACTTTCTGTGAGTACTTTCTGTGAGTACCTTCTGTGAGTACTTTCTGTGAGTACCTTCTGTAAGTACCTTCTGTGAGTACTTTCTGTGAGTACCTTCTGTAAGTACCTTCTGTGAGTACTTTCTGTGAGTACCTTCTGTGAGTACTTTCTGTGAGTACCTGTTGTATTACTGCACATTGCGAGTGGTACCGGTCACGTTGAAGGTTAAGTAAGAACAGTTTTAAACACGGGGAGTAGTGTGTGAGTTGATTTTAGCCCATGTGTTTTTGTATGTGTACACCAAGTTCTAATGTGGTTCAAAAGCAGTGTTTCTTCCAGACTTTTTTCTCCTGGGGGCACTTGAAATTTTCGGGGGGGAGGAGGCGGTAGACTTTCTTCGGGGGGGGGGGGCGGACACTGTTAAAAGCATATATTTTCTCTATAAATTATATAAATTTCATTTCGTTCGGGGGGGGGGGGGGTGGGGGGGGCGGTAAAAAAAAATTAGAAAGAGACCCACGCTTTTCTTTCTAGTTATTTAAATAGTAGTCTATTGAAGGTGATGACGCGTGTGGTGTGGTTGGCTAGACATGCCTACTAATTCGGTCCAAATTTTTATTAATTCATAAAAAATTAATTAGGCATCCGATTAAGTCAAATTTAGTTTCAGATTGCATTGTCTTCATGTCTTGACCCACGTGTCAAATGTGAATCGTATCTGTCAAGTAGAACTGTCCGAATTTTCACTCCTGCGTTTCCGTCTAGACAGACTGACGACTGACGACAGAGGAAGCGAGTTAAATAAAAGCTTGTAAAAATTCATAAAAAACGTTTTAATAACAAGCTTTTATGTAATAATGCACTAAAAAGTAGAAAATAAATTATAGACTACTATCTAAATAACTATAAAGAAAAGCGTGGGTCACTTTAGTATCTATTGGATACCTTTACTAATGTTAAGGAAGACACCCACGCTTTTCTTTATAGTTATTTGAATAGTAGTCTATAATTTATTTTCTACTTTTTAGTGCATTATTACATAAAAGCTTGTTATTAAAACGTTTTTTATGAATTTTTAGCGCAATTTCCATTCTGGAGAATAGCGTTTATTAACCCGTCATTTCTAGATGTATGGATGGATGTGTGTCCGCAGCTTTAAGTCGTATCTCCTCCTCAACGAAGCAATATCGAGGACTAGTTCCAAAGCAATTATGTTAAGCAAGTTACGAGGATGAACATAGGTCAAAAAAATTCCGGGTTTCTTTCATGGATTTCCCGGAAAAGCCAAAAAACCTCGAAAAAATGCAGTTTTTGGCCCATATCTCGGCAACCAGACCACTTAACGACTTGAAACATTTACCAATCGATTTCTGCCATAATTTAGAACAATATTGCCGAAGAAAGTTTTCAAAAATATCCTTTTGTTCGGTCACAAAAAAAAAATTTGAATTAATTAAAATTTGGACCGAATTAGTAGGCATGTTTATCCAACCACACCACACGCGTCATCACGTTCAATAGCTGCGCCATCACGTTCAATGGCTGCGCCATCACGTTCAGTAGCTAGGCGCGCAATGGTTTTTAGTCATGTAACTCTATTGTAAATAAAACATAAGGAAATTGCGCTTAAATTGTCACTAGACTTTGTAATTAACATGTTTATGAATTAATTAAAATTTTCTGAAATTAGTAACCCGTCTTGTGCTACTATTTCCCCATTTGGTGCGCAATGGTTTTTAGTTATGCAACTCTATTGTAAATTATTAGTATTTTCTAAATTCATATGCGTTGTTTTGAGAAATAGCGTAAAATACTTCTTCCGGTAAAAAAAAAAGGCATAAGAATTTATAAAGTATTAGTATTCCGCACTATTACTATCGATGATTACAGATACAAAGACAGACAGACAGACGAAGCAAGTTAAATAAAAGCTTGTAATAAACAGGAGAATGATTGCTAAATTTAATGTTGAAGCATGGGGTAATGTGTAAAGACATTCAAAACTCATTTATAACTATCACAATATCCTGCCCGAGGTAGAAAAGTAGCATAAGACCAGCCTACCGTAAAAATG